TTATTGCCAAACAAAACACAGTCTCTAGGTCCCCGGATCAGATGTCTACAGTTCTGCTGGTACATATGTGCTCCCTGACAATGGACCGTCTCAGTCAGTGGCGGGATTCACCACTGCCCCCTAGGCCAGACAAGGTAACTCCTCACATGTGAATTCTTACATACAAACAAGTTACACCTCACTCCTGACGTATTGAGGTACAACCCCTCTACGTAGTAAGGTGCTGCCTATCAACTTGTACATGTTGGTTCGATCAAAACAACTCTAGCCATCATAGTACCTTCCTGCCTGTCTTTAGGATGGGTCTGCCTGTTCCTTGTTATCTGTGTGGAATGTGCGAGTATCGGAGTATTCTGGTACCATCCTGGCATATGTTTGTACCTCTACTGTCCAGTACCTTTTAGGTCTGAATATTTTTGCAGCATCAGCCCTTTCCTTGCCAGCTTCTGTGAGCAGGGCCTGCCTCTGGCTCACAGGTTAACTTTGCTTTATGTTAACAAAGTCTTGACCGTTACTTTAGTTCAGGCCTTAGGCCTCATACCGGGCCTCTGATAGAAGGGTAGATGCATTCTCCATCACTGGCAATTTTTAAATCAAGATTGGATGGTTTTCTGAAAGATCTGCTAAAGGAATCGTTTTGGGGCAGTTCTCTGGCCTGTGCTCTGCAGGAGGGCAGACTAGATGATCCCAGTGGTCCCTCCTGACCTTGGAATCTCTGAATCTGTGAATTCTGTAGCCGGTAATGAAGGATAGTGTCAATTGCTAAAAAAAAAGGGTGATCAACACTTATGCTTCAGGCATTGATCTCCTCCAGAATGCTATTCCCCCCATCAAGGGGCTAGGACCATTATGCCTTAATCTGACTTTCCTTTGAAATGTCAGGTATTCAATTCTGCAAGAAGCTAAATATTAGCCTTGGTGCACCAATGGTTTACTAGTATGGCAACCCCCCTGTTCCTCACTATGTACCAAACACATTTCTTAATTGGATTAGCTTGTGGTTAAACTGTAATGTTAATCTGGGTTACGCCAAGAAGGCAGGGCATTATGGGCGGGACACAGGAATCCGTCTGTGAGTCATAAATCCAAGATCCTCATCTCTATGCTGGCACGTAGCCATCTGACAATTATACAACTCATTCCATTTTTAGTTGTCAAAAGCGAAAGCAAATTGGCTAGAGCAGGGACAGGGCTCTGCAGACCCAATCTCTGTGTTAGCCCCTCCTTAGAGACTGAGCAATTCAGCAGGTCATTAAGTACCCACTAAAGATACCACAGTCTTGAATATTTGTGTGTGGGAGTTTCTTTATTGTTTATTAAAAAGATTGCAGAGGACTCGGGTATCTGAAAAGCATAGCTCCGGTTAGAGAACAAGCCTGCTATAAGGAATCTTGTACATTCCTACCAAGCGATTCTAAAATGTGGGAAAACTGCTGTTTTTGTGGCATATTTTCTGTACCAAGCACATCCCAAAATGTTATGTGAACCACAGTGTATGTGTGCGCGCGAGAGAGAACTTGGATGCGTGAGCTTATGGAAATCCTCAGTAGTTTGTGCTTATTGCGAGTAAAAGGCCAAAATTTAAATAGTGAAAACATAGACCTGAAGTTTCCAAAGTGACTAGTGGCTAAATTCTGAGGGGCCGAACTGGGGACACCTTAAAGAAGACTGATGTTGAGGGGGGGTGCTCAGCACTTCCTGAAAATCAGATGCCTTTGATGTGTGCCAAAATGGACACCCCAAAGATGAGCCACCCTACAACCACTAATCACGTTTTGGAAAGTCAGGCCACAGCTTTTCCTTGCTGTTCACCTTGCATGTCTCGTTAAAGGATTATACAGGGATTTGGGCTCAATGGTGAAAACAGTGGTATAAATGCCTGTAGAGATTCAGGGTTGGATAATTCCATTAAATGCAATTTTGTAATTACATCACAGTAGTAGGAGTGCCGGCAGATAGCTGGCGCTAGCATTTTGGTTTCCCAATACATGTCACAGTCAGGCCTGGCAAGAGCAATGTGAGACCTTGGTACATCATGTTCACTGCCACGCCCCTTTCACTTTATTTACCCAGATGTTACAGATTGGGGCAGGGGGGAGGCCCTATGAACTCAGGGGCCTGGTACACTTATCTCCCCTTCCCCTGTTTTGTCAGCCCCAGTTACAATGATACTAAGTGTTACTGAAATGAATCCAAGCCCCATGCTCACTCAACACAGAATAACGCTATGTGTCTGTTACAATAGAGAATGTTTAGGTTCCTTTTGGGTGAGATGGCTTCTTTTTAAATGGGACGGGAACATAGGAAATTAGGGTAGAAAGAACCATAGATCCATCCCCAGGCTGGCAGACTCAAACTGTCTATTGGCTGGGGCACCCAGGAATACTTTTACATTCCAAGTATGTAGTAATAAATAAATAAATAAAATAAAAACCTTCCCTCCTTGATGACATGCATGCTGTGCACTGGTTTTCCATCTGGCTACCTCATCCACCTCAGTGACGGCTGCATTTCAGGGCTTGGTTAAGTGTAAACAGGGCCTGATCATGCATAAACTGACTACCACATCTAAGCAAAGGGGCTGCTCAAAGCAATTAATCGCTACACTCAGTTGTGTTTGCAGGATTGGGCCTGTAGTTTGTTAAAACACCTCAGGCTGAAAGATGCTATGTAAAGGTAAGATGGAGGGTAGGATTTTCAAAGGTGCCTAAGGAAGTTACAGTTAGGTGCCCAATTCCCATTAAAAAACAACAGGAATTAGGAACCTAACTAGGTGCTTTTCAAAATCTCACCCCTCAGGCTTAGATTTGGGGATACCCACCCCCTTTCACAATAATAAATAGTCACAGTGTTAACGAACCATTTGGCCGACGGCAGCTGCCTTAACACAACTGGCTTCTCTATTCTTTTTTTCTAATGGACAAATCATTCCACTGCCACAGGTAATTCAATGAGTGAGTTGCGATGTCCCTTTCCACAGGCAGCTGAATATTTGGAGAAACTAATGTGCTCTTTCATGGGGTGGGGGGGGGTGCAAAAAAAAAAGGGAATATAATTAGCTTGGGGGTTTGGCTGCAGACATATTTTTAATGAACAGCAGATTCCCCACGACCTAGCCATACTTTTTGGAAATTTTCACACGCTGGTTGCCCCCCCATTTCTAAGGAGGAAGCTGGAGTCACTCAAATGGAGGAGCTGCAGAATATGGTCCCCTAAAGAGGTGTTCTCTCGGACCAGAGGACCTCCACTCTGCTCCAAAGCATTGGTGGAGCAGTAGGACCAAAGCTATTCCAACGCATGGGATAGCTTTAGTTGTATGCTACATGGCTTCGGAGAAAGAATTACATTTCTATGACCGGTAAAAAGCTTTGTAGGTGCCAAGCGCCCCAGAAGCATCTAGCCTTGATACAGTCCCAATCAGCACCTCTTAAAGAAGATTTCTGACGGCAGCAAATGGCTCTCTCTGCTTTCTTATTAGCATAGGCATTGGAGAAGGCTGCTGGTCCATGACAAATTGTACTAACAGCAGGGGAGCACAGAGCATGGTGATTAGACCGGAAAAAAAAAAAATCAACCCAGCTCTGTTGAAATATAAAGGGAAAGCGCAACCCTGGTTTGTCCAGTGACCTCGCTGCTTCCTGTACCTGTCTGTTTCCAGCTACAAAGCACAAGACACATTTCTCCGCAGCTACCAAAATCTCTCTTTTACCAGCTCTTGCTCAGTTTAGCCCCAAAGTCTGTTTTTTGGGGGAGGGGGGTGCTAAATTCCAGCATTCTTTGGTTTCCCTCTATTCCAACTATTAATGTAAAGCCAGTGTCCCTCGTGTCTCTATCCCACAGGTTATCCCTGCAAGGAGCCAGAGCAACCTGCAGAAGAGAAGCAGGTGTAGGGCGGCAAATGCCTCAGCCCCAAACTTTGGCCAGCATTTTCAACCCTGGGTGCCTAATCTGTTATGGTCCCAGATCCATATTTAGGCACATCCTTATCGCGGCTTGAGTTTTATTTCAATGGGAACTGTAGGTGCTCCCTCCCCTCCCCTTCCTTAGCCGTTTCACCGGCGTCAAGGGGCTGCTCACAGGACGAGGGCCTAGTTGAACGCAAGGGGGTTGCTCGATCTGGCCCAGCATTCCCAGGGAAGGGCAAATCGCTCTCCGCAGGAAATGTCAGGTACTCTATGAAGCGCGATGCTTATTTACTAGGAGCTTCACTGCCAGGTTTCCAAGCAGGGCACCCCATAAACCGTGGCCTGCCTTTGGGGTGGCTGGAATTCCCCGTCCACACAGCCAGCGTCCTCCAAATGTTTCGTGACCCAGAGGTTGGTCTTTGTCCAGTGCCATCCGCCCAGAAACCAGCCCCCGGCTCTGTTTGCAGGCAGGGGACGGGCGAGCTTGGCCGTTCGGTTCCCCGAGCTGGGGGGCCCGCCGGCTCCGTGGCTCGCGTTTCCACACCGTCTCGGGAGCCCGGGGAGCCCGCTCTGGAACGCGGCGCGGGGCCGCCTGGAACCCGGCGGGCGCGGGGCCGCTCCCGCGCCTGCGAAAGGCCGGGGCCAGGCTCCGCCTCACCGTGTCCCTTTAACTCAGCCGCGGGGGGAGGAGGCAGCCCGGAGGAGGCTGGGAAGCGGCTTCACTCCCCCTCCCCAGCAGGAGCAACGGGCAGAAGGCTGGTGGCTTGCAGCCGCGGAAGGAGGTTGCGACCGACAGCCCCCCAGCCCCAGGCCGGCGGCGTGCTGCGCTCGCCCCTCCGGGGCACGGCCGGCCCCCGCGGGGATGCGGGCCGGGCTGGGCACCGCGTGCATTTCTCCCGTTGGGCAGCTAGAGAGCGGTGCAGGGAATGAAATCCCCGGTGCAATAGCCAGGAGCCGAGCTCTCCCTTCCTGTTGGCAGCCGCGCCGGGCCGGGGCTTGGGAAACCCGGTGAGTGGGTGACGGGCAGCTCCGACCCGGGCTGGACCTGCCCCCGCCCCCCCTGCCCCCGCCCCTGGACTGCCCCCCCCACCCCGTATTCCCCTCCCCCCCACCTCTCTCCCATGGCGGAGACTAAAATCATCTACCACATCGACGAGGAGGAGACCCCCTACCTGGTGAAGCTGCCCGTCCCCCCGGAGAAAGTCACGCTGACAGATTTTAAAAATGTCCTCAGCAACCGGCCTGTGCACAGCTACAAATTCTTCTTCAAGTCCATGGACCAGGATTTCGGGTGAGTGTGCGTGAGTGTGACTCGGTGAGTGTGTATACACCCCCCCCACCCCCTCTCCGAGCCCTAGTGATTCCAGGCACTCCCTAAAACGGCGGAGGGGGGGGCGAATACTTGTGCTCCCCCCACCCCCGCTGTCAGCTGCGGCTTTAAACCCCCCCCCCCCCCCGTAGCAGCCCAGCCGAGAGCACCTGTTCCCCGCGCCGGGGTGCAAAGCTCGCCTGGGTGGGGGTGAAACTTTCCACGCGTGGGAGGGGGAAGGGTCCGAGGAACGTGCGTTTGATTTTGGTGGGGGGGGGGAATGGAGCAAACGCCCCCAAGGGCTGTTAGATGTGGGGCGTAGAGAGCAGCCCCCCACCCCAGTAGCTGTGGCTGGGTGGAGGGGGGCTGGGATCGCGCTGGGGTGGGTTGCGCCCCTTTACACGGGGATGGGAGGGGAGGGGCGCGGAGGCTGCCTGTGGGTGCGGGGGTGGGGGATGTTGCCCTTCAAGGGGTGCCCGGGGAGGGGGCTGGGGCAGCGCTAGAGCCAGTGGGGCTGGTGACCCCCCCCAGCGGGCTGGTTAGCGCTGTGTGGGTGGGGGGTCCCCCCGCGCCTTGACACCCCCGCTGGCTGAGGGGGGGGGTCCTGGCACCGCCGCGCCGGCTTCGCGCTAGGCCCGGGCAGCCGCCGCAGGGACCGGGGGAGGCAGCTACTAACATGGCGGCCCGGGCTGGGGAGGCGGCGGGGCCTGGGGGGGGGGCGGCATGGGGGCAGGTTCCTCTCCCTCCCCCCCCCCGCGCCAATTACCCAGCGGGGGGGCGGCATGGGGGCAGGTTCCTCTCCCTTCCCCCCCCCGCGTCAATTACCCAGCGGGGGGGGGGCGGCATGGGGGCAGGTTCCTCCCCCTCCCCCCCCGCGTCAATTACCCAGCGGGGGGGGGGGCGGCATGGGGGCAGGTTCCTCCCCCTCCCCCCCCGCGTCAATTACCCAGCGGGGGGGGGGCGGCATGGGGGCAGGTTCCTCTCCCTCTCCCCCCCCGCGCCAATTACCCAGCGGGGGGGCGGCATGGGGGCAGGTTCCTCTCCCTTCCTCCCCCCGCGCCAATTACCCAGCGGGGGGGCGGCATGGGGGCAGGTTCCTCTCCCCCCTCCCGCGCCAATTACCCAGCGGGGGGGGCGGCCTGGGGGCAGGTTCCTCTCCCCCCCTCCCGCGCCAATTACCCAGCGGGGGGGCGGCCTGGGGGCAGGTTCCTCTCCCCCCCTCCCGCGCCAATTACCCAGCGGGGGGGCGGCCTGGGGGCAGGTTCCTCTCCCCCCCCCCCCGCGCCAATTACCCAGCGGGGGGCGGCATGGGGGCAGGTTCCTCCCCCCCCCCCGCGCCAAGTACCCAGCGGGGGGGGGCGGCATGGGGGCAGGTTCCTCCCCCCCCCCGCGCCAAGTACCCAGCGGGGGGGGGCGGCATGGGGGCAGGTTCCCCCCCCCCCGCGCCAAGTACCCAGCGGGGGGGCGGCATGGGGGCAGGTTCCCCCCTCCCCCCGCGCCAAGTACCCAGCGGGGGGGGCGGCATGGGGGCAGGTTCCTCCCCCCCGCGCCAAGTACCCAGCGGGGGGGGCGGCATGGGGGCAGGTTCCTCCCCCCCACACGCCAAGTACCCAGCGGGGGGGCGGCATGGGGGCAGATTCCTCCCCCCCCCACGCCAATTATCCAGCGGGGGGGGCGACATGAGGGCAGCTTCTCCCTTCCTGCCCCCAGGGGCACTCACCCAAGCACCTGGTGTAAGTATCCTGCCCCTCCCTCCCCTCATGACTGTGCCCCGGCAGCAGGGGGACAGGGCATCTCCCAGTGCCAAGGTCTGGGGGCAATTCCCACCTCGATACCCAGGCACAAGAGGGCAAGGGAAGGGCCTTATCCCATTACCCAAGCTGGACCCACAGGGAGACCGGTTCATATCCTTTCCCATATGCAGGCATCTGCCTCTGGTAGACTGGGCCAAGGGCCTTTCTCCTCCTCTGCCAGGCGGCTGCCTCCCAGACAGCCACCTGTGGGGAAATGGGAGAAATTCCATTCCCCAGTGCCCAGCTAATCACCCAGACAGAGAGGCAAATACTCTGCCCTGGCACTAGCCATGGGGAGTTGGGTAACTGGCTGGTTTCCCGCTGAGCAACCCCTCTGCTGCTCTCTGCACACGGAGCGTCTCCGCTCTCCTGTAACCCTGTCCCATCTGCTTACACATCTGGTTTGGATAGTCTTCAGGACACCCCAGTAATATAGTGTAAAGGATCTGACCACGAATATGCTAACGGACGTATTCAAAGGGACTTCCACTCTTGCAAGTGGAAAAGCACCTTTGCACACACCCATCAGGTAGCTGTTTGCTCTCGGAAGTGATCGTTTTCACCCCGAGAGTATGTGGAACGTATAAAAGCCGATGAAGGCGAGGGGCCAGATTTTCAAAAGTCCTCAGGCTCCACTATTAAGGCCGGATTTCCAATGGGATCTGTTGGGTGCTGGACACACTTCTGGCCCAGCGTTCCTAAATGCTAGCTTTCCCACACAAAAGGGGGGTTTGTACACTTCAATTTGTTGGCATTCATGTTAAAAAAAAAAAAAAAAAAAAAAGTCCAATGCCCTTTGACAGTTTGTCATAAATCAGCTTTCACAGTGTAGTAATCCCTCTGTAATACACAGCTGCACTTTTTGATGTTGGATATTTGTATCTGCATCTATCACTGGCAAGGCATCTCTGCATTTCTAGATTGCTTGTGGAAGAGGCTAGATGAAACCTTTGTCGAAAAGTAACATGATCTAATGTCTGTAGCATCACTAGCATAATAAGTATATGAATATAGTGCCTAGTATCTAAAATGGCTCTGTTGGTAACATTCACATCATCTTAAAATGATATTCTCTTTATTGCTTCTTGAAAGCTTGAACCCTGAAGCTTGTTTCTCCAGTTGTTTCTCCATCCACACTGGAATATGCTTCCATGCTGAAGGGTATTTCTTATGTGGTAGATTGTTTGTTTATATTGGTTTGTTACTGAGCTGCTCATGCACTGATTTATTTATTTCCTAGAATTTGGAAACATTTATTTAGAAAAAAGTACATAAAGAATTAATTTCAAAACAAACACACGGGGACGTGTGAAATGGTCCAGATGTTAGATCAGCCAGTTTGGGCCTTCTGAAGTACTTCTTTTTTAATAGCACAGTTGAGTACAAGTTAAAAATATGTATATCATGTCGGACAAGCATAAACTGTGCCTGTCCCTTAAACTTACATTTTTCTTCATGGACCCTTAACTGAAGGGTGCTGCAATATTGTGGGATAGCCTTAAAATGCCAGCTCTTAGGATGTGTGATCCCTCCTCAGTAAAACCGGGCTGGATTCTGAGTTTGTTGGGACTGCAGGTAAAGTCACTCATGTGGTGCTGTCCTTGCTCTTTGTCCAGGTGAAGAAAATCCTGTGCAGGATTCTTGTTTATTTCAGTTCCCTTCCTGACTGGCTTTTCATCTCTACCCAGTCCACTTGCCTGCTCGTGGAAAATGGAGTTGGCATAAGAGTGGAGAGTTGCAAATGTACAGTCGAGTTTTGGATTTGTCAAATTAGTGTCCCTTTAGTCACAATATTCTCCAATACAAATATACAATACAGTTGATGCTTTGTAAAAGTGACGTGTGTGTTGGGGGGAGAATGGCTGCAGTTAAGTTGTCTGTGCTGCCAGTGAAGTGTGGAACCGCTGCTTGGTCATAGCAGCGGAACCTTGCATCATACCGTGGCAAATACGAGGGTGTTTGGTTGAGGCCATTGTCTTAGAGAGGTTTCAGAGTAGCAGCCGTGTTAGTCTGTATTTGCAAAAAGAAAAAGGAGGACTTGTGGCACCTTAGAGACTAACCAATTTATTTGAGTGTGAGCTGTAGCTCACGAAAGCTTATGCTCAAATAAATTGGTTAGTTTCTAAGGTGCCACAAGTCCTCCTTTTTCTTCTTGTCTTAGAGAGTGTCCTAGTGATCTTGTAAGATGGAACTGGAAAGGTTTTGCTTTTCCAAGTAGCAAAGCTACAAGTTTGTGAATGGGATTCTCCCAGACATTAACACCACCAGCTTAAACGATAAGGTGATAACATGAACCAAGATATGCTGAGCAAATTCAAGCTAAAGGTCATACTTGGTCTCTAGCTGCTGCTGCTGCCTTGTATATGTAGCACATAAGATGAAATGTGATTCCATTGCCGCTCAGGTGCGGTACCTGGCACGCCACCTTTTTGAGGTGCCTGTGTGCAGATGTGTGCTGAAAAATTGGCAGTTCCAAGGCGTCTACTATATTCTGCTTCAGGAGCCAGCAGTAAAAGAAAAGCCAGACCCAGACTGTGCGCTGACCTTAAAACTTTCTGATGGGGAAGGGGGTACTTGATCCTAAAGTATAGAACATCCCACAACTCCTGTTGACTTCAGTGGGAGTTGTGGATGCTCACTGCATCTGGGGCAGACATTGTGTCTTTCCTTGACTGTACATTCATGGATTGGCACTAGTTTTGTTGCAAGATGGGTCTCTCTAAAAGTCGAAGTTGTTTATAGGTAAACATCAAAGTTTTTGTGCTCAAACCCCTGTAGAAGTTCCTAAATAATATAGAACAAGATATGACCGCAATCCGTGGCTCTTTGAGGGTAGAAGGGTCTGCCAGCATGTATCTGACTGCAAAATTTGGGCCTGTGTGTAAATTTAAAGGGCGTTTCCTTATCTTTCCTAAGCTTCAGCTCACAATGAATTTCTGTGGCCAAGTGGCAAACCAACATAAAATCAGATCTCTAATGGAAGAGCTGATGTAACATTTAACAGTGCTAACAACACCACAATCACTTGTCTTTTTTTCCTTCTGAGACCACTGGATTTAATCAATTATGGGGTACTGTGAACCTCTAGTGATGCTCCTTTCACCTCCCTTCTTGCTGTAATATATTGTCTTCTTAGAGCAGGGCTCATTTCTCCAATCACCGATGGCTTCTCTGCATCATGTTCATCGT